TTTGAAACCAAAAATTCGAATTCCTTGAAGTTGTTAAAGTTTTGAATTTTGGTGTGATGAAATCAATTGGTTGATACTAGTTGGAGCTGAGAAACGTCATCAAAACACTGCTCGAATATTTCGAAGATTAAGATCCATATGTGAAACTTACTTTATGGACTTGTTTGTTCATTTTGTAGGAAAGTTCAATTTGGGTGAGGGATATTCCAACAACATAGAAAAAATGTTTGAGGCCATGATGAAGAGATTTGATATGATTAATTGAAGGTTCACAAATATGGAGAATAGGATGCAAGTTCAAGAGGAAAAGGTGAACTCCTTGAAGAGTGGAACTCTTCCACATCAATAAGGTGTTGGAAGTAGTGCTTCTCCAATAACTCATTCTACTCCTTTGGATCCTAATCTAATGCAACAAGGGATCCATGCTCAAGCTACTTATGCAAAGGAATTCTATTCTATGACAATCAACTCCAAAGGCAACAAAATCAATCCACAAAATCACCAATCACCACAAGAAAAGAACATCAATATTGAGGAAGAAGAAGATGATGCTCAAAATGTAATGAGACAACAAGTTTGGAAAGTTTATTGACAACCAAGATACAACTATGATGAGCATGAAAGATGGTTGAACACCATCAAGATTACTGTTCCACCTTTCAAAGGAAGTAGTGACCCGAATAAATACTTGGATCGGGTAATCAAGAGTAAAAACATCTTCCAAGTTAACAATGTGCATAGTATGTCATCACCCAATTTGAGGGATTTGCCTCTACTTGGTGGGAATCTTATAAGAGGCAAAGGAACAACGACTACTTGATCCTATTACTACTTGGGATGAAATGAAAGGTGTCATAAAGAAAAGGTTTGTACTGGATTACTTTCAAGAAGGCATTCTTTCAAAATTCTATACTTTGAGGAAATGTAGTAAGAATATTGATGAATTCTATGAAGAGTTTGAGAAGAGAAGATTGCAAGCCAACTTTCATGATAGAGAGGATCTTATTGTTCCAAGATTCCTTGAGGGGTTGAACAAGGAAATTTCTTCTCCTATAAGGTTGCACAAGTATGATTACTTAGAGGATGTTTACCAAGCGGCTTTGAGAGTTGAAAAGGGGCTTAAGAGTGAGAAAAGCTACAAGTCCAAGAGCACTACTTCTTCATTGAGCAAGGGAAAAGAGACTTGAAAATATTTTAAGCCATTGGGACAAGCCTAAAGAGACTAAATAAGATTTCAAAAATCAAGTTGAAAGATCCAACCTAAGGTGGAGGCTAAAAAAGGAGGAAATAATACTCAATACAAGACTCCTACTAATATTAGGTGACATAAGTGTCATGGCCTTGGTTAGTACATGAGAGATTGTCCAAACTGGAGAGTTATCATTTCAATGGAAGATGGAGGATATCAAACGAGAGATAGTGACCATGGTGAAGATGTTGAAGAGGAAGGTGACAGTGACCATGGAGAGTGCGAAGAAGAAGACCTCAAGCGCTACTTGGTAGTAAGAAGATTTATGGGTGAACTTGCTAAGGAAGAATTAGATCAAAGGGGGAATCTTTTTCATGCTAGATGCAAGATTATGGGAGATGTTTGATCAATGATAACTGATAATGGAAGTTGTGAAAATGTGGCAAGTGCATCTTTGGTAGAGCAATTCAATTTGCATACAAGGAAGCATCCTGTATCATATAGACTACAATGCTTAAATGAGTGTGCGTAATTCAAAGTGACAAAGCTAGTATTAATAAAGTTCAAGATCGAAAAGTATCATGATGAAGTTTGGTGTGATGTAGTGCCAATGCAAGCTTGTAATTTGCTTTTAGGTCGACCTTGGCAATATGATAGAGAAGTAAAGCATGATGGAAGAACAAATAAGTACTCTCTTATTAAAGATGGACATAAATTTACTCTTTTACGTCTGACACCATTTCAAGTGAGTGAAGATTATTAAAAAAAAGAGAGAATTGAGGAAAAAACCAAAGAGTGAGCAAAAGAGAAAAAAAAGAGTGATACTTCAATAGAGGAAAAAAGTGAGTAGAGTGGCACTTCAAGAGAGAAAAAAAGTGAAAAAGAGGGAAATGTTTCACTTTTATAAAATAAGAGTGAGCCTAGAGGGAAATAAAAAGTGAGTTTGTTAGATAGTCATCAAGATACTTTGAGAGAGGTTGAGCCACTCAAAGATGGAAGTTATAGAATGTGCGTTGATTGTAAGGCTATCAATAAAATCACGGTAAAGTATTGTCATCCTATACCTAGGCTTGATGAATTGAGTGGCTCTCTTATCTTTTCTAAAATTGACTTTAGAAGAGATTATCATCAAATAAGAATAAAACCCGGCGATGAGGAGAAAATCGCTTTTAAAACTAAATTTGGATTGTATGAATGGATGGTTATGCCTTTTGAACTTTCTAATACACCTAGCAATTTTATGAGGTTTATGAACCATGTGATGAAACACTTTATGGGAAAGTTTGTTGTAGTTTACTTCGATAATATTTTGGTGTATTCAAAGTTACTTGAAGAGCATGTTGAGCGCTTGAAAAAAATGCTCTTAGAAAGGAAAGATTGTTTGGTAATTTGAAAAGTGTACTTTTTGTGTTGATAAAGTGGTCTTTCTTGGTTTTGTTGTGAGTTCTAAGGGTGTAGGAAGTTGATGATTTTACAGTAAAAGTCATTATGAGTTGGTCCATACCTAAGTCTATTGGGGACGTTAGGAGCTTTCATGAGTTGACTAGTTTCTATAGAAGTTTTGTTAAGAACTTTAGCACCATAGCCGCACCGTTGACCCGAGTAATCAAGAAAGATAAGACCTTTGTTTGGGGGAAAGATAAATTTAGCAAGGCACTACTTCTTCAACTTCCTAATTTTGAAAAGACTTTTGAAATTGAGTGTGATGGTAGTGGAGTAGGTATAGGAGCAGTTTTAATGCAAGATCAACAACCCATAGTCTACTTTAGTGAGAAACTTAGAGGGGCGTGCTTGAACTATTCTACATATGATAAGGAGTTGTATGCCTTAGTTAGAGCTTTATCAAATTGGAAACAATACCTTTGGCATAGGGAGTTTGTGATTAAAATTGGCCATGAATTTTTGAAGCACCTTAAGAGCCAAAGTAAATTAAACAAGAGATATGCTAAATGGGCAGAGTTTATTGAGCAATTTTCATATGTGAATGGCAAAGATAATGTGGTCACGGATGTTCTTTCTAGGGGGTTTATTTTAATGAACACTTTGACTTCTAAGTTAATGCAATTTGAGAGCCTAAGAGAACTTTATCTTAGTGATCATAACATTAATGAGCTTTATGTTAAATGTGATTAAGTTGAGGCACATAAGAAACCTTATAGGTTAGATGATGCATACCATGATAAGCAAGGGAAGGAAGAGAAGGATAATGAATTAGCCAAAGTAGAAAGATAAAAGAGATTTCATAAGTTTGATGGATTCCTATTTAGAGAAAGTAGGTTTTGTGTGCCTAGGTCCTCTTGGAGAGAAATGCTTGTTAGAGAGGCATATAGTAGTGGTTTAATGGGACATTTTGAAGTCCCTAAGACTTTAGAATATTAAAAGAGCACTTTTATTGGCTTAAGATGAAAGTTGACGTAGATAAAGTATGTGATCAATATGTTGAGTGCAAGCAAGCTAAGTCTAAGGTATGTCCTTTTGGTTTGTATACTCCATTACCTATTTCTAATGCTCCTTGGTTTGATATTTCTATGAATTTTGTTCTTGGTTTGCCTAGGACTAGGAAAGGTGGAGATAGTATTGTGTGGTAGTTGATAGATTTTCTAAAATGGCACATTTTATATCATATCATAAAAGTGATGATGCTACCTATATTTCTACTTTATTTGTTGATCATATGCTTAAGTTGCATGAAATTTCAAAAACTATTGTTAGCGATAGGGATTTCAAGTTTCTTAGTCATTTTTGGAAGGGTTTGTGGGTAAGCTTGACACTAAATTGTTATTTTTTACTTTTTGTCATCCTCAAACCAATGTTCAAACCTAAGCTGTCAATAGGTCATTAAGAAATATTCTTAGGGCCATGGTTAAAGGAAAGCTTACTTCTTGGGAGGAACAATTGGCATCAGTAGAATTTGCATATAAAAGGACTATTCATTCATCTATTGGTATGTCTCCTTTTGAATATGTTTATGGTTCCAATCCTTTAACTCACTTGGATCTAACTCCTTTGTCTCAAGATGTTGTTGTGAGTTTAGATGCTAAGACAAGAGTCGGAGCCATGAAGAAAACTCACAAGAATGTTAGGAAACAACTTGAAAAGATGAACAAAAAGGTATATACCAAAGCCAACAAAGGAAGAAATAAAATGGTGTTGAACCCGGAGAATGGGTGTGGGTGTATTTTAGGAAAGAAAGGTTCCCTCACAAGAGAAAGAACAAATTGCTACCAAGAGGAGATGGACCTTTTCAAATTCTTGAAAGAACTAATGAAAATGCTTATAAAGTTGATCTTCCTAATGATTTTCAAGCGCATGATATTTTCAATGTTAGTGACTTGTCTTGTTTTGATGTAGGTGATGTTACAAATTCGAGGATGAATTTTTTTCAATAAGGGGAAGATGATCACATTATGCCTATGCCTTCAAGACCGTTCACTAGGAGTCAAGCCAAGGGCCTTCAAATTATTGGGATACATTTGATGAAGTTGGAAGATTTGAATGATCTTTCGGAAAAGCTTAATAGACTCTATAATTTCATCCAAATGATATTCATGGATGGTGGCCCAATTTCATGTGAAGAGGCCCAATTACAAGTGGAGAGCCCAATTAAAGTCATTATATAGACATTAGGATAAATAAAAAATATTGGGTCATATTTCATTTCTTAGACTATATTAAATATTGCTATATATTTTGTGAGCTTGAAAGTTGACTTATGATTTCCTTTGAACTAGCCCTAGAATTTGCAAGAGTTTTGTCTTCCTCTTGAGGATTCTATTAGTGTAGGTGATTTTGTTGATTGTATTCGGCGTGATTAGGATTTAATTATAGTTATTACTAATATCTCATCAATATTTGTGTCTTGCTTCCCTTTCTTTATTTGATTTTCAAGTCTCATTTCTTGTTCTTGCATTTTGATTGTTATCAAAGGCACCTCCTTGTTCACCTCCATACCCACTACAATAAAGTCTACGGGAAACACAAACCTATCCACCCGAACTAAAATATCATCAATGATTCCCTCAGGAAAAATGGTGGTCTGGTCAGCCAGTTGTAGGGACATTGGTACTGATTTGATCACTTCAAGCCCCCCTTCCAGTTTCTTGAACATGGATAGAGGCATTAGATTTATAAACGCACCAGAATCACAGAGAGACTTGTCGAATTTCTCACTCCCCAACGAGCATGGTATGTTAAAGCTCCCTAGGTCCCCACAATTTTGGGGAATTTTATTTTGTAATATAGCAGTGCAGTAGGCATTCAGCTTGACCACTGTTGTCTCCTCCAATTTTCTCTTGCTAGACAAGATTTCCTTCAAGAACTTTGCATAAGCAGACATCTAAATGAGTACCTCTATGAAGGGAATGTTCACATAAAGTTGCTTGTGCATCTCCAAGGACTGCTCAAAGTATTTTTCAAGTTTTTCCCGCTTCATCTTTTGAGGGAATGGTAGAGCTGCCATACGTCTACTTTCTTCAATCTCCTTTTGTACCCCCACTACTTTGGCCTTTCTGCTCTTCAGTCTTTTTCTCTTTTGGTGTCTCAGTCTGCTTGTTCACCACCTCGGGTTTAGCTTTCACCACTAGGTCAACCAATGCTTTTTCACTTCTTAAAAATACAGCTTTGATTGTTTCTTTTGGTTTCTTTTCAGTGTCATAGGGTTGAGTCCCATGAGACCTCTCAGATAACAAATTTTCAATTTGTCCCATTTGCCTTTTTAAATTTCGGATAGTCGTGCCCTGAGTCTTAAATTTTTCATCTATTTTATTGATGAATGCCTTCATGAGATCTTTCATACTAGACTGATTTGACTGTTGTGGCTGGTATTGCTACCTCTGTTGGTTCTAAAAACCTAGTGGTCCTTGACCCTAGGGTCAAGGATTATTTTGCTGCCATGAGTTCAAACTCTTACTAGGTGAACTCCACGAAAAACCTGGATGTTTTTTACCCATAGTATTATAGTTCTTCCCACCTTGGTAGTTTTCCCTATTATAGTTCGCCACAACATTGACTTCCTTAGCTGAAGCTTGACATTCATTTGTAGGGTGTCTCATTTCACAAAAAATGACCGGCTGTTTGTGACTCACTCTGTACCTTGGTCAATGTCAGCTTTCTTATCTCCTTGGCTATACTGTCTCGATGGGCTTACATGAATGTATTAGAGTCCACCCTGTGAACCCCAACTGATTTTCTTCTATTATTATACTCAGCACGCCACTGGTTAGTATCCTTATATAATTCATCAAGGATTAAGACAACCTCTTCAGGAATTTTCTTCATTAGTGGACCTCCACATGCAGTATTCAAAGTTCGTCGCGAGGAAGGTGTCAGTCCATCCCAAAAATTCTGGAGTTGCATCCACAAAGTGCTGACACGTTTTGACTATCTCCTTGAATTTTTCTGAAGCTTCGAAAATCGTTTATGTCTCCTTCTGGCAGAAGATGTGAATTTTCCTTCTGAATTTCCCTATTTTTGCAGTTGAGAAGTACTTGTCAAGAAACTTTTTGGTCATATCTTTCCATATTCTGATCGACCATGTGAGTAAGCTACGTGCTAGTGTTTCGCGTCATCTTTCAATAAAAAGAGGAATGCCTTTAAGTAGACTGCATCTTTTGATACTCTATTATACTAGAAGGTGTTCATGATTTCTTCAAAGTCCATCAAGTGAGTGCTAGGATCTTCATTCTCCTTCCCTCTGAAGATGTAGTTGTTTTGGATGGTTTGAACCAAGCCTTGCTTCAATTCGAAATTGTTTGCTGCTATGGGTAGAGGTCTGTCGCTTGACAGTCCTTGATTCTAGACTGTTATGGCATGGTCACCTAATGATCTTCTAGGACTAGGTGTTGCATTCTCGAACTGGTCTTCAACCAAGGGTCGGTTTAGATTGAATCTTCGACCTCCATCATTTTCGATTGTTTCCTCAGCAACTCTCCAGGCAGCTTCAGCTGCTATCCGTACAACTTCTTGTTGTGCTGCCTCTCTTGCAGCTAAGTCTACTCCATCAATCTCCTTGTTTTCCATGTTGTCTTGAGTCGAAGTATGACCTAAGAAATTTTCTGTTAATTCTCTTTCTTTTCTCAGTTGTTGCAGGTGTTTCTCCAATTCTGGTTTGTAGGTTATCACTTCCTTTGGAGAAGATCGAGTCATACACCATAGAAATCAACCATATATCCTGCACACAAGTGAGAAAACGTGAATACATTAAAGTAAAAATTGGTTCCTGAATTAGTACTAAAAAATATTTTATACACTATTGATTTCCAAATACTCGGCAACAACGCCAAAATTTGACGAGCGCAAAATACAAAACCAAATTATTGCTCGTAGTCAAAGATAATATAGTTTAATTATTATCTTCACAAGGATTGGATTTAAACAATGTTCGAATAATCTTCAGTTGATTTCTATACAGGAAAATTAACACTTGCTTTGATGATTATCAATTATTATTACTTACAAAAATTTAAGCAGTTAACAATTGATCACAAAAGATAGTAGATGAGCAACAAGAAAGTATCAATAAGAGAAATAAGGGTAATTGACTAGATAGGTGCAAGACAATTGACTCACGATCCAATTCTTTAGTTAATTCACTTTATAATATTGTTGATTCTCATGAATTCAACAGATAGTTAAATTACACTTGAAGTTAATGTTCCTCATCCGTTTAAACGTTAATTTCAGTAATTAATCCAATTGAAGTACGGTAAACAATTGCAACGAATAAAATGATGGTTATGGTCTAAGGGGTAATTTCTCACGAATATTTTCCTATTTTCTAGTTTGATTAACAATTCAAGAGGCTCTTTCGATTACCTATTTGAATCACGAATTTAAACTAGAGCATTAGATGTAAAGAAATTTAATATCAAGCTCCTCTTTCGATTAAGCAAAATAACAAATAACTCCCAATACGAATTAAAACTCCATCAATTAATTACAACAATTGTCAAGAATCGAATCCCCAATCAAGTTATCAAAACATCATATCTGTCAACACCCTAATGGAATTTAGTCCATAGCAATGGAAAAAGTCATCTCAATAAGGTTTACAAACAAAGAAAATATCAATGCTAATGATTAGATACAAACTCCTGTATTTCACCGATTGTTGGTTGAAATCTTGATGAATTCTTGAGTCTTCTTGCCTTGGTTGATTCTCCAATCTTTCGTAGGTCAAAAGTCCCTTCAAAAACGTATTTTTGATGTATTTATACCATGTAAGAACGGGCCATGACAAAACTACCCTTTCCTTCCCGACACTAGAAATAACTCTAATAAATTTGTACACTCCTGCGTGCGGTGCACTTGTGAGGAAGTTTAGAGAGGTGACATTTGACATGCAGCCCAGTTTTACACAACCGCGTCACGCCATGTGCGGCTGTGAGGTTTTCTCAGAGTAAATAGTTTCTTCCACTTTTTGACATTCAAACTTGGTCCTCGACCCCCGAACGTGATCCCGACTTAATTTCTTGGGCTTCTACTCAGACTTCAAAGCTCCAACTTGTTTGATTTAGCTCCAAATTACGTTAATTGCTCGGGGTCATTTCCTGCAAGGCATAAACACGTAATAAGTGTAATTCACTATTATTTAAGCTCAAACACATATAAAATACAGTAATTAGAGTGCAATACTATGCTAAAATACGAGTTTCCAGCCTACCATCACTCAACCTAGAAATATTTTGGAATAAAGGGACTAGATAAGTAGTATTCATGTACAAAATTTTCTTGTAAATTTATCTTAATGGGCTGGTCCTAAGATCAGCACTCGGGAAATCGAAAATTTTGATGGCTTGTTTAGATGAAATGCCCTTTTAAATGATTGAACTGTGTTATTAATGACGGACTGTTATCGTACAAATAGCACGGTATAGCCAGTTTTCGAATTGGTCATTCAAAAATAGCCAGCATTTACGAAGTCAATGAAAAATAGCCACTATTTTGCTGCAACAGAGACCGATCCAGCATAATATACTGGAGTTCGGTGCACCTGTGTATGAACTCCAGCATATTATGCTGGACCAGTATACTTTGCTGACTCCAGTATAATATACTGGAGATTGGAGCACCGGTGCTCCAAACTCCAGTATATTATACTGGATAATTATACTTGCTGGAACTCCAGTATAATATGTTGGAGTTCAAGCATATTTATGCTGGAACTCCAGTATAATATACTGACGTATTTTTCAGGTTCTGAACAATGCTTTCGCTCAGATTTATCTTTACATGAAAAGTGGCTAAATTTCGATTACTTTTGAAATTGGGCTATTTTTGAACGACCAGTTGTAAATCTGATTATTTTTTAATTTCTCCCTAGGTTATCTGCTTTTTTTTGGCCCGGTCTGGATAAAATTTGGATAAATGTTCTCTTTTAATTTTCAATTCATTTCCTTTCTTTAACAAAAAAATTGATTTTTTCCAAGTTTGCATTAAAATTTAACACTTGTACTTAGTATTATTTTGATAGAATCCTCGTTTCATTTTTTTGCCCCAGTAAGATGACTTTAACTTTAAAATAAATAAGTAATTTAACCCTTTAAAACATTTTACTCGAAGTTTAATTTTCTATTAATACACAGAGAGATACAAAATGTGACTCATGTTATCATCATTACAAATAATTGCCTAGTTGGCACTGCCAGTGTTGAGAAGCAAAGGTGGTCGCATTTATTTTGATTTTAGCTATTTATTGACAGCAATTTTTACACAATTAATTATAAAAAGTTTACATGTTGATTTAATATAATGTATAATTTGGAGAAGATGATATAGAGTTTATTGTATTTTGCCAGATTACTCATTACAGAAAACACGTAAATAGTTGTTAATTAAATTAACCTTAGCATCCAATAATTTGATTAATTAATTAAATTAATTTTAAATTAAATACTACTATAAAATTGGTAATTACAAAAGTCCAGGTGTCGGAGTAAACCACATTGATATTATCGAACGGGAAAAAACAAAACAATACGACCCTCACCACCTCTCTCAGTTGTTTCAGTTCAGTCTTCTCCACAATCACATTTTCCTCATAGCTCAGAAGAAGATGACAGCTCTTTCAAATTCCTTCGTTTTATCCAAACCCCAAAACTTATCTTTCCATTTTTCCTCCGGTAATCCTTACCCTCCTTTTATTTGTCATTTCTTACTATACTCAAATCGACTGACTGTTTTCTTTATTTTGCGATATTTTGTTGTTTTTCATTTCTTGATCTGATTGTATTGCCTTATTTTTTATATACTTTTACTGATTTCCGTTGCTATCTGAGCTTGCATGAGCGTTCTACTGTACCAAAATTAGCGGACTGCTGTACAGTTATGTTTTGATTT